TTCTTCAAAGTCGGTACATAGTTGTTTCATGTCTGCATCCTCTTTCTTCCTAGAGTGACATTGACCGACTGAGTGAGGGATATCGTGTTGGGGCTTAGACTTCTGGCCCTTGGAGTTGAAGAGAGTGTACGCTCCAGAACGTGGCGCATGAGTCAGAACTGTCATAGCTAGTAATAGTAAAGAAGAGTGGTCCGTGTCCGAGAAGAGAAGAGAAAAAAGAAAAGAAAAGGGAAGGAAACAAGGGACTGGATGGTGCCACAGAGCTTTATAGTGCCAGTACGAGTAACAACAACAGAGGCAGAGGCAAGAGCATCCGAATGCATAATAAGAGCAGTGCGAGACCCCAGAGAGCGTCACGACACAAAAGACAGAACAATAGCAGGCAAAGTACAATAGCGACGTGGTCAAAGAGGAAGAAGGGCCGGGAGATGCCGCCGCCCAAAGAGCCGCACGTGATGCTACGCGTTGGCCTCGCGTCGTTCCCCTGAAAGCGGTGGACTCAGATCGCCCACGCTTGATACATGGCGGGAGCCTGTTGGACTGTGGCCTGATGGACGCGCGCAAGGAGGACTAAAATACAAGCTTTGCCCGTCAGGACAAGGGACTCGGGTAGACTCGATCGACTTTTCTTTTCTTCTTCCCATCATGTCGGAATACAAAAGGCTTTTTTCCACGACAGGAATGTGGCTCTTTATTCGCAGTGTTGATCTTCATCGAGAACGACCACTATGATATCTCCTCTCGTAGGAGCAATTCTGGGTAACCACGACAGCCGGATGCCAGCGGCGCCCACCTCAATGGCTATGAAGTATGAGTACGAGATAACACTGGAGGATCATGTGGCGCTCTTCTCTGGAGTAAGTGGCCCGCATATGTACGTCGTTCGATGTCAGCTAAGATGATAGATTTTAGCACGAGCACGTCAACGATGCGATTCGCCAATTCTGAGAAGACAGTCTTCGAGAGTCCCAATCTTGGACGAGCTGGACATCGAAGGTACCACTATTTTTGTTATGCCGTGTCTCGTTTACGCGATGAAGTGAAAGTTTTGGCGACCATATCCCAAATCCTTCAATCTTCCGGATTCTCAATGGACCACCGGCGGCCTGCGTAACAGGGGACCGGTCAAATATCGCACGAGGTCCGCAGGATGTAGGACCGATGAAATCCTACGTTAGTATAGATTTCGAGACTGGTGCTATATAGTATCCTCAAGGCTAGCACTCACCGGGATCGATACGGGGCAAGACAGAATGCATCCAGAGTTTTTCGATCCTGTTACTCCTCTGTATCAGGCTTATAAACTTGACACCTACCAAGTTGGTAGGTAATCACGTCCTACGCCAGTGTTTCCTCGAGGCGGGCTCGGTCAACTCTCTAACAAGGCAGTCTCATCATTGTCAATTGTCTTGAATTCTTGGCTATAATGCTCACGAACGTATTGGCGCAGCCCAGGTACTGGTATTGCTTTAATATCTGGTGTCTGAGCTGGATGCTAGGACTCTACGGATGGACTAGCCTTGTGCAAAAGGCCGATCATGTCCGACCTTACTTGAGAAAGAACTCGCGGCGCCACTGGTGGAAGGCGAAGTTGTAGGGTTGTCTGTAATTTCTGTAGTTGATTTGTTGCCATAGTTGTTGAAGTGATTGCGGACTCACTAGTACTCACTATTCAGCCGATGTTTGTGAACAAAAGAGTGCACAGTCCATTGTTCGCCATCGGCAGTGGCCGAGAATGTGCCAGATTAGGAAAGATGTGAATTGCCGGCGGAGACCTTGTCTTCTTGTTCACGTTCTTCAGTTACCACCACCATCGAGGCATGGCCGACTGCGACAACAGCGACATGCCGCTTTCACAGCCTGCAAAGCGAAATGCAAACTCACCGCCGCCGACGCCGCCCTCGCCAGTGGGCTCAGAAGCTGGTGAGAGACCACTTATCGTAGGGCAAACATTGGGCAAGGCTGACGGCGGTCCCTTTGTCCGATTTAGAGGCCAAGTCGTCTCGAAAGCGTGAGCGAGAAGTATCGCAAGAGCCGGCGACTGTGCCGACGCCAACAGAGGTGCGCCGTCGCGAACGATATGACGTTGTACTAATGCTGTGTTGTGAAGGACGGCGCTCGCGACCCCAAGGAAGTACGGGCGCCAAAGAAGAAGAACCGTCTACAACTGGACTCTACTGCTGAAGAGGACGACTCTGGCTCTAGATCACGGTCAAGTTCTCCAACACCAGCCGTCGACTCGCCGCCCCAAGAAATGAAAATCAGAGTGCGACAAATCAGCCAGGGCGTCGAGGACCTCAACTGGCGCAACATGCACAAATCAGACGACGACTTGCCCCCAAAGATGTCAGTTGATGGCCAGACTGTCCCAGAGGAATCCCAAGATGATAACAAGATGGACGTCCCCGTAGACGACTCCCCCGCCAGCTCATCGCAGCCCCAATCAGTCAACGATCCACAGCAGATACCGGTCGACATAACTCTGAATATGAATGGTACCCATTCCCGCAGAGATTCAGATTCAGACTCGGGCGAGCGGGAGAAGGGTCTTAAGCGCAAGTATCCCGAACGAGGGCTTAGCCAGGGACCACCCGAAAACGATGCCGTCCCCGAGACTTCCAAACGCCCCCGAGACGACGCGGATAAAGACGATAATCCGCGTGAGACCAAACGGCCATCACCACCCCCAGATGCTCCCGTGAAGCCTGCGAAAAAGCTGGTGCGGATCTCTAATGTTGCAATATCACGCCTGACTGATTCCTTTATCAGGGTGGATTTATGGCCTATGCAGCTACCAAATCGCCGTTCTCAGCTGTCAAGGGGCCGAATATATTCGCGTCAGCATCCTCATCAACTTCGGCCCTACCACCATCCACGGCTCCATCACCTTTTGCGGCACCTGTTCTGGGACAGTCCTCAAAGCAAACTAGATCTCTGCCCGCCAGCACAGAAGCCTCTTTCACCCTACCTCCATCCTCCCTTCCCTCGTCGCCTGCCAAAAAGTCCGGCTTCAGCGCGTTTGCCACAACCGGCTCCCCATTCAAAGCCAGCCGGAGCAAATCTCCTCCACGCAAGAACGCGTCTGGCGCGAAGAATGCCTTTTCGGCGTATAAAGGTGCAGGCGTTCATGCCTTTGCGGTGCCTGCTTTCAAGGTGACACGTGCCGGTTCACCTTCTCCATCATCTCAGACGCCAGAGAGTGGCGGGGAGGACGAACCGAATACATTTGGTGACAAGCTTCGTGCAGGACGAGACGACAGTGATGAAGACGATGGTCCAAAGTTGAATTTGACGGAACAAGACCGTAGGTTGTTGTTATATCGTCAAGAGCTTTACTAACCGCGTTTTTACAGGTATTACTGGAGAGGAAGAGGAGGATACCATGTTCTCCGTTCGGTGCAAGCTCTTCGCCTTGGATGGACAGGCGTGGAAAGAGCGAGGAGTTGGCGTCCTGAAAGTGAACGTGCACAAGACCACCAACCGAGCACGGATATGTAAGTTCTCTCATCGTCAAGGTTCGTTCTCTCTAAGCGTTCGGCAGTGATGCGTAAAGAAGCTGTACACACGACGCTGCTCAACGTATCTCTTTTTCACGGTATGTCCTGCAGTATAGCGCAGGACCCGCGATATCTCCGCTTAAGCGTCATCGAGAAGGGTGAAGGCACCCAGACGACACATTTCAATCTGCGGGTAAGTCGCACGATACCCTTCTTGCCTGACAGCATCTGACCCCACATTTAGCTTAGCAATGCCTCAGTGACACAGGATCTACTGAACAACATACGTGATCGCATCCCGGATGCATGAGAAACAAGGACAGTACTGTTCTGTAGTAAAATTGGTCTATCCCGTCTGTATTGCTTTCCGCTACGTCCTATCATATATCCTACATGTAGTATTTACCAATGATTATAAAGTCCGGACATGCTCTCCAGCTACTGAATCATGGTCCTCGACTTCTGTGCTGGTGACTGTCGGTGTATTGATGACAATGACTGGCGTGCGCCGTCCATATTCGTAAACAAAGCGTGGCGTACCCCACTAGGTCATACTACAGGCAACACCTCAGTGGTTGCGCCAGACCATGGGCAGGGGTTTACCGTTTGAAGTATTACTGTGAAGTAATCGCTAGGTTTCGATGCACCTTGGTCTTTGACCTGTAAATAACAGTTTAAAACCGGTAACAAACACGTAGCTCTCTGATACCATTCAGTCACAGGGGGAGGAGGACCGAGGTGCCTGTCCAAAACGAGCATCCAGGCCCCAGCTGAGTTAACAAGAGGTTTACTGGGCCAGTGCAGCGTGCGCCGTGCGCCCGACGAATTGATCATGAGGAGTCGAGGACTGCGCCACACCAGGCTAGGGTGGCGATACACCTGCGGTTAAGTATTAACAGTAAGTATTGATTCGGTATCGAAACCCTCGGGGGTTGGGAGGTAGGGTTCGATACTGGCACGTGAATTCACGTGCCGGCACGCTGGCGCAGGGAGAAGCTGAGAGAGGCGGGACAAAGGCGGGATGGGGGCGGGGGGGGCGGCGCGGCGCCACATCACGTGTTTACACACCGGTATCGAAACCGGTAGTAAGGGTTTCAAAACCATGGCCTCCCGGCGCGTCGGTCGGTACCGTTGCTAACACCCCTGGAGGTTTACTGTGCAGTGCGCCACCCTAGCCCGCCGCCTAGGGTTGCGCAGGATACCTATGATATCGCGCCGTTCGATATTTAACCGGTTATTAACGGTTATTAACCGGGTTAATAACACCCTTTCGAGAGGTAAGTTTTTGGGGAGTTATTAACCCATCACATGATGCAGTCATGTGAACAGGTGGGGCGGGGTGGGCGCGTTGGGGCGGGATCGGCGGGGAGAAGGGTGATTGGAGGCAAGATGGATGGGTAATGAGCTACTAGACTGAATACATACATCAGAAGCTCAGTAAAACTTACATCAGATCATTTTGCGAAGCAAAAATCAGCAAAATACCAATCATGTGGTTGGCAACTGCCCCAGAGAGGCTCGAACTCTCGACCTTCCGATTGTAATCGCGTTGTACGGTGGGTATAACAGTCGGACGCTGTAACCAACTCAGCCATGGGGCATGGACGTGTCTTTGAGAAGTGCTTTTTGACATGAAAGACACAGCAACAGATGTTAGTCCTTCCGCAAAATCCTGGAATCGATTATCGAGTGCAGAAACGAGGTTTTCAAACATTTCGAGGGCCTGCCCCGTCGTCCTGCGATGACGGGGATCAGCCTGTGTCACCTTCTCGACCAACGGTGTGAGAAACTCGAGTCCATTGTAAGGCTGGTGGTAGGTAACCTGGTTAGATGAAGACAATGAGAATAAGGATTAGTTTTGCTGACCGCAAGAAAACGCTGGCGAAGAATGTGGTTACCGATTTGATAGATGTCGAACCACCAGCTCGAACTGGTGGGTCCTGACGATCCGGATGTATTTCGGCAGTCTCAAAATCGACGAAGTAGTAGTTCAGTGGACGTACGCGACAACAAAAGATGAGCTACATCAATCCCAGGCAACTAAACTTATCGAGTATGAAGTTATACAACTTCGCCTTCCGCCTGTGGCGTCGCGAATTCTTTGGGAAGTAGGGTCGAATACGATCGGACTTTTCTACGATGTAGTCCATCCGTAGTGTCCTCGCATCCAGGTCAGATACCAGCGATTCGAACAAAGCGAGTGCTTGCGCTGCGTCAATGCGTTCATAGGCCTTGTTATGGGTCATTTTTTCGACCAACGGGGTCAGAAACTCAAGACCATCATACTGCTACGTTGCGGATTTCTTATTAGAAATCACAGAGATCGCAGTAGACCTAGCTTACCTCGAGGAAACACTCGCGCAGGACATGATTACCAACTTGGTAAATGTCGAGTTTGAAAGCCTGATAGAAAGGAATGAAAGGCTCAGAAAACTCTGGAGGGGTTTTATCTTGCCCTGCCCTTCCGAAGCGGACCGAACCCGATGAGTGCTGGCCTTCAGGGTATACGGCAGCGGTCTCGAAATCGATGAAGTAGTAGTTCACCGGTCGTACTGCGAACCTCGTGCGATACTTAATGCTTTTATACGAGCCGTCGGTGGTCCATGGGCGAATCAACGAGAAGCTGGTTGGAATGAGCGATGAACTATCCATCATGATGTTGCCTCTGCACGCGTCACTGGTAGATGCTGAGTCGCGGAACAGAAGAACGAGTTGTTTGCACCTACTTATGTGCGATCTTATTCTCGTGCATGAACTTTAGACCTTGGAGGATTTGGCGAATAGCCTCCAAACATTCACTTCGCCGCAAAAATGGTGGGTCGTCGAACTGGCGCAGAAATGGCATTACGAAAATTGTGGTGCCGTCGATCTCCAGCTCGTCCAAGATTGGAACGGTACGATTATGCGGAGACTGTGCCTGTGGCTTCCGGAGCTCGTCGAGAACCTTCTTCTCAGTGTCGGAATTATACGACCGGAGCATGACATGGCGCTGGTCTGAAATGCGAATGGCGTCGTTGAGGTGCTCATGCTGAAAAGGTAGGTAAGTAGGTATCGAACAAAGTATAACCCCACACTTACCCCATAATAGAGCGCCACATGGTCTTCTGGTACTTCGTAGGAGTACTTGATAGGACTAGGCTTCCATTCAGGATGGAAACGTGGACGTAACTTGTATCCAGCTTCAAGAAGCCTGTCGTAGTTGGTTACCCAGAATCGCTCCATGGGAGTGATCTCGAGGGTGGAATACATAGTAGTCGTTAAGTTCTCGTTGAAGGTCTTGAGTAGAGAGCCACATTTCTTCGAGTACAAGCCTTTTGTATGGGGACGGTGATCCGGGTGATGGGCAGAAACAAAGAGATCATTACCTGGGTCCGCGGTTCTTGTCCTCTAATTGTCAACTCTTGTCAGCTCGCCGAACAATAACGTATCTTTTCAGTACACTGCTTGCTTCCTCTTCGTTCTGGGGCATGCCCTCTTTTCACTTAATACCTCACCCTTCCACCTGGTTATCAGCTCTTCAATACAGCCCGAACTCAGGAACTGGTGTATACTATGTCGATCTGCCTGAACTAATTGGTCGCCTGTGCCAGAACAACGACCACGGGGATCAAATAGATAACAAAGGCTTGCTAATTGATGTCATTCTGACCTATATAAGTCCCAGAAGCGGTCCTCTGGCCACAATTACTACTTTTCACCTCCTTCCTTCCAAAGATGTCCGACGAAACAAATGGCCCGAAATTTCTCAAGTGGCTTCGCCGTCAGACCTGCGCCGACGTAATCTCCCTGCAGCGCGCCGCTTCTCTATACCAAGAAGACGTCAAGACCGAAGTCGACCCCGACCTTGCCTATCTACATCACCTTGATTTCGAGAAGTATGGATCTCCACGACTCACCTGTGATGTATTAACAAACGACATTGTGATAGACATCGCATGAGACTCACTGATTTTGCCAAACAATCTAATGGGCTGTTCTCGAGGCTCAGAACCAATCCTGCTCATATTTGTCGGGGCCTACTTAAAGATGTTTCCACGGCCCATGAACTCTTCCGGTACGTGTATTTTGATTCCGATGAGACCCAGTCTTTGGGGACCTTTTCGGCGCTGAACCTCACACCAGGGCTAAATCTGCTGCGCGGGCAGAGGAAAGAAAGGAGTTTGTGGCATTACAGTATGTGGCGCAACACCCAGTGGTATGAATGTCTTCGCTGATTCGAAATGAGAAGGCAGCGGCCCCGCAAAGAATTGATTCGTAAATGCTATTGGGAATACTTTCCTTCTGCGCGAATATTTCCGACCTTGTCCCTAGATGAAGGTCGTTATAGTGCGTTGGTTCCCTCGTATCACCAACGTATGTCTAACTATCAGTAGAATTTGAAGTCGAAGTGGGAATACCTCTTGATTGTAGCCCTTTCAACACTCGTGACTCGGATATGACAAGGACGTACGCTAACAAAAAGTTGTTCTTCGCATCGAGCCGCTCAGATGGAGGCGACGCACAAGTGACTGTGCTGAAGCGCATCAAACTGCCTTCTGATCTAGTCAGTCGTGCTATAGCACGCAAGGAAGTGGAGACCTTGAAGCTCATGTCGAAAGAGGGATGCCCTTGCTTGCTTCAATATATTGCCTCTGGTAAGCATACTGTTGGAACAGTCAAAGCTTCGAGCTTACCACTATGTCTAGGGACTGTTGAAAGCTCGAATCCTGGCGAACCTGCGTATCTGTGTCTGGTTACCGATTACATCGAAGGTTGCTCGCTCTTACGCTGGATCCAAGCGCAGCGACAGTCGCTCGGAGAGGAAACTGTGAAGTGTATCATCAAACAGGCCTTGGTTGCTCTTCATTTTATACACTCGCGAGGTCTCATTCATCGAGGTATCAGTCCTAAGAGTATCCTCTTGGATATCTATCACAATATCAAGATCATCAACCTAGATGTCTATACCCCAGACGATGACGGTCAGTGAAACATGTCACCAGTCCTCTCGCAAAGTGACTCATGAGTAGCGCTCCCAGTAGTTCAAGAAAGACGTCGCTCGTTGCTGACACATACGGCCACTATAACGGAAGACTACGCCGATTTGACCAGTGAGCTACGTGATGCTATTCAGCATGGCTGCCACTTTTGGTCCCCCGAGTTCATAGCACGCGGGGAAATCTCATGCAGCGCCGACATATGGGCTCTTGGGTGTACCGCACTGTATGTGTCTACGGGGCCGTGGAGCTTTACTCAAGGCTTAGAAATGTTCAATTACCAGGTGAGCTGTGTCGCATTTTCTTCGATGGCGCGCCGCTTCATGTGATGTTCAGAGAGGATCTGGTCAGGAGCCTAGTGCAATCACCCAGGTTAGCGATAAACGCCTTCAAGAAACGTTTCTCAGACCGGCCATGAGGTCTAACCCGACAACGCGACCGACAGCTGAGGATCTTTGCCGTCGGCGTGAGCTGGGGATACTCGTACCAAATCAGTTCTCGGATTCTAGTAGTACCCTGTTGGCTGGCCCCGACGGTCTCTAAAGAACCTGTTTACTCGCTCCACTCAACTATCTACTTACTTATAGAGGATCTTGTCGAGAACTCAGTATAATAAAGTGTTAATGATCAAAGCTTCCTTGCACCAGGCGGCCCCATGAGGCCAAATCCGACGATGCAACTGACCGCTGAGGAGCTTTGCCGTCAATCAGGAGAAGTGCTCGAGTCCAGAGTCATTTCTCGGACTCCGACAGCACCTTCCAGACCGTTAAATCCCTCTAGAATCCCTCTCGTCGGAGTCGGGTGGATCATTCAATCCCCCGGTGAAGGATATTCACGTTGTACACGTCGTAGCTTTTTGACACTAATCGACTCTCTTCTAATCAAACATGTTGCTGTATACGTGTTAAGCCTGAGGATAAAGGCGTTGTGCGTCCCAGGTGCCATTATTGGAATGGTGGCCGGCTCTCGGACCGAACTGGAGCGAGAATCCGGGCCAATGTGCAACTTCGTTCACAACGATCACTTTCAAAAACTAACGAATGTGGGCATATATAATATGCTCTTCCTGCGAATCGTGATATCCGTCGCCTCAACTGGACCAGCCATTTTCATGTTTGGACACTGCGGAGCAGGCATCGCGCGCCGGGACTAAAGAACCTTTACCGTTACGAGCTTTACTCAACTCCCCGAATGATCCTGTTGCCTTCCGGCTTTCTTCAGACCCCACACGAGACGTGCTGAATATACTTGGGAGGTCAACATGGCGACATTAGCCTCTAATCGCCGCCTATCGTCAGGTGCAATCTTGTCCTACGCGAGTTCGTACATGAATATACTTAATGGTGCTACAAGTAAGCCGCTGTTCGACGTATTTTCCCTTCCGACCTTTCATTTATCAGTGGTGCTTGCTCCGGTACTACCACGATGGGTAGCCTAAAGCTGCTTGTGCCAAGTATCCGCATTTAGGCGTATTCTCGCACATCTTCTGCGCCATCAACGAGTCAAGGATTGACATTACGACTTCGCTATTGGCCTATTACTGGCTAGTATTGCTATGGTTCGGATCAACAGTGCGTTGTTCGCCAAGAGGAACTTGACGAGGCCCATAGCGTTGGAATTGTTGT